CATATGTTTCTAATATCAGAAAATAAATTAAGATTTTTATTTTATTTTTAAGAATACCTCATCGTCGACTAAAATCATCTGAGTAGAATGACCAATACCATTGACAACTACATCCCATAATCGCATAATTGCAACATCTATATAAAAATCTAGGGTTCCGAACTTTTTCTCTTTAAGAGAAACAAAAGAAGGCATTATGATTAAGAAGGCTACGTGATCTCTATAGGAATAAACAATGATATAGATCTATATATATATAGGATACAAACTAAAACCCTAGATCGAAATATGAAGGCCCATAGTTGATTACGAAATCTAAATAATTAGGTATATATATGGTCCATAATCGTTATCAATTGATGACATTCCAATGTAATTAAGTAGAGATTTTAGGGTAGTTTTGGCAATCCAACTCTTAAACTCACTGTAGAGCCGCCACGTAGGAAAAGTGACTTCGCTTTTATAAGTATAGATACTTTTGTGAATATTGGGCCGATTTGTTGTGAAATTGGGCTAACGGTATTTGTTTTGGCCGATTTTTAGAAGAGATTTGGTTAATAATTGATAATAATTGATTTGTGCTAATATAAAGGGATTTGGTTATATGCATAATATTTTTGTAATCTTTGGGCCGATTTTTTGAAGAAATTGGTGTGAATGTCATGTTATATTTTTGATAATGCCATGTCACATTAAAATTGTGAGAATGAATTTGGTGAGGACACTCTTTTCAAAAAATTGCTCTCCAACTAATATATAAAGATAATTTTTCCGTGCTTGTTTTACCCTTAAATCATTTGTTAGTAAAAACCTTATTACAGGAATGTCATTATAACAAAATTCGAAGAAAACAAAAAATAAAAAAATTACGATTTTGCCATATGACATATTTAATTTGATGTGACCACAAGTTTATTTTTAGACATTATTTTGGCTACAAATTTACTGAATATTGAGAAATTTATAAATATTTCATAGATTTATTTAACAGTTTTTTATTTTTGGCCATAAACTTACTTAAATTAGACAGACTTGATTAGCTTCAATAGTTTTCGTTTTTTTTCCTACAAAATTTCTTAAATTTGAAAAACTTAAATAGTTTGTCAAAATTTATTTTATTTTGTCCACATATTTACTTTATTTTGAAAAATTTATTAGTATTTGATAGATTCTTTTCACTTTGTCCACAAATTTACTTAATTTTAAAAGATTTAATTATTTCCATCACAGATTTGTTTATATTTAGAGATAAATTTTCTCAAATTTAACAGACTAAATTAATTTATCACAAATTTTTTTTTTTTTACAATAAATTTATCTTATTTTGATAGATATATTAGTGTTTGAGAGATTTATGTCTTTTGGCCACATGATATATTTATATTCTTTTGACCATAATTTTTTYTTTAACCATAGACTAAATTATTTGTAGATTAATGTAAATATACTAAACATGCTAAACCATACCAAATTAACCGAGCCAAACCGTTTAAACAAGACCAAACCGATTTGTTAAAAAAATCAACGACAATTAGGACTCCTAGAATTTGTCATCATCTTCTTCTTTTCGTAATTAACCTTTTCTTTTTTGGCTTTTTTCTTCACTAAAATAAATAAGGGGTAAATTGTAATTCACATGTCATCTTCTTCCTACGAAATCTGGTCTTCTTAAACCCTATCAATGGCCGCTGTTCACCTTTAACTCGGTTATCATTGTTTTTAACTCGTTTTCAGTTCGATTTACCCATAAAATTGTGGATGTAACATCAAATATACTCTTTTGAGCAAAAAATCAAAAGATTTCGGAACTTTTTAAAATTTTCCGTGTTTTAATTCGATTATTGTTTAATTCCGCGGCGGAGCTCCGTCGAACGTATTAGCGGCGCTTAAACAGCGTTTACAAACATAACTTTTAAGAGATCAATATAATAGAAAAGAGAGAAGAAGTCAATTTTCCAAAAAAAAAAAAAAGTTTGTGAGACTCAT